ATACAACTCAAGCTAGTACAAGTGGATCTTATGATAATGAACAAGATCAAGTGGCTAGTGTATCATCTCAACCCAATGATCATGTAAATGCAAGCAATCAAGTTCTATTGCTCCAACCAACAAATATTGTAAGGGATCATCCATTGGACACTATCATTGGTGATATTTTAAGAGGTGTGCAAACAAGGTCAAGATTAGCATCATTTTGTGAACATTTCTCATTTGTGTCATCCATTGAACCAAAGAAGATAGATGAAGCTTTGAAGGATGTTGATTAGGTGAATGCTATGCATGAAGAATTGAATAACTTCACAAGAAATCAAGTATGGAAATTGGTAGAGAGACCAAAGGGACACAATGTAATTGGAACCAAATGGGTCTTTAGAAACAAGCAAGATCAAGATGGGATAGTAGTAAGAAACAAAGCAAGATTAGTAGCATAAGGCTATACACAAGTTGAGGGTCTTGACTTTGGAGAAACATATGCCCCGGTTGCTAGATTGGAAGTAATTAGAATCTTGCTAGCCTATGCTTGTGCCCACAACATCAAACTATATCAAATAGATGTCAAGAGTACATTTCTCAATGGATATATCAATGAAGAAGTATATGTTGAGCAACCTCCCGGTTTTGAAGATGACAAGAAGCCCAACCATGTGTACAAGTTGAAGAAGGCATTGTATGGCTTGAAGCAAGCACCTAGAGCATGGTATGAGAGATTGATAGACTTCCTACTCTCTAAAGGGTTCACAATGGGCAAGGTTGATACTACTCTTTTCATCAAGAAGATTGGAAAAGATCTATTTGTGTTGCAAATCTATGTTGATGATATCATATTTGGATCAACCAATCAAGATTTTTGTGATGAGTTTGAAAAGATGATGGCTAATGAGTTTGAGATGTCCATGATTGGAGAGTTGAGTTACTTCCTTGGTCTTCAAATCAAGCAATTGAAAAATGGTATATTTGTGAGTCGAGGCAAGTATATCAAGGACATGATCAAGAAGTTTGGTATGAGTGATAGCAAAGTCATTAGCACACCAATGGCAACTTGGATAGTGATGCAAGTGGAAATATGATGGATCAAAAGTTGTATTGGTCTATGATTGGAAGCCTACTCTATGTGACCACATCATGGCCAAATGTCATGTTTAGTGTATGCATGTGTGCAAGATTTCAAGCCTCGCCAAGAGAAAGTCATTTGAAGGCTACAAAGAGGATATTGAGGTACTTGAAGCATACACCAAATGTTGGTTTGTGGTATCCTAAAGGAGCAAAGTTTGAGCTAGTTGGTTACTCCGACTCGGATTATGCGGGATGTAAGGTTGAAAGGAAGAGCACCTCGGGCACATATTAATTGCTGGGAAGATCACTTGTTTCATGGTCATCAAAGAAGCAAAATAGTGTTGCATTATCAACCGCCGAAGCTGAATACATATCCGCCGGTAGTTGTGCACAAATTCTTTGGATGAAGGCTACTTTGAATGACTTTGGAATCAAGTTCAAGAAAGTGCCATTGCTATGTGATAATGAGAGTGCAATCAAGTTAACCAGCAATCCAGTTCAACATGCAAGAATAAAGCACATTGATTTCCGCCACCATTTCATAAGAGATCACCAACAAAAAGGGGACATTTGCATTGAGAGTGTAGGCACCGAAGATCAACTTGCCGATATATTCACCAAGCCATTGGATGAGAAAAGATTTTGCAAGCTTAGGAATGAGTTGAACATATTGGATTTCTCAAATATGTGTTGATGCAACCCCACTTATATGACATGCCTCTCCTTCGAGCAATCCAAGGTAAAAGTTGATTGGCATGGCATACATCCTTGCTAAGGACATGTTTAGTGCATCTAGTCATCTCTCCATTTTATTAGGCTCATTCATGAAAATCAAATGAATCTGATGTTTATATGGTATCATTATTGCTTCTGCTTGACTTGATCTAGTGATAGCATATGACATGTTTGTGGGCTTGTAAACCTAGTGTTTAATCTAGAAAGTGAGCTTTAAGTGTTTAACTCAACATGGTACAAGATAACTCTTAAATAGAGGTGTGAAGAAGCTTGTCCTTGGATCAAACCGAGTTAAATATCTTGGACAAATAATCTAGTTTGAACCAAATTTGAGAATATGATCCTGACCCCATTGATTGACATTGATAATCTCAACCTATCTAGTTTTTGAACCTTTGTGGTCATTGATGACAAAGGGGGAGAGAAACAAAGATATTAGTACATGAGGAGAAAAACAAAGATATTAGTGTACTAAGATAGTGAAAAGACAACAAAGGGGGAGAACTTGACATAGGGGGAGAGATATGACAAAGGAAAGGAATCAATTAAAATTTTAAGCACACAAGTAGGGGGAGCAAGCTCATGAACTTGTATGGTGCATTTGAATGTGCATTTCATATGTTTGCTTGCATAGCACAAGTTTTTAATCAAAATATCCATGCTTGTGTGATGAATGACAGTTGTAAACTTGAATGATGAAATGAAAATCTAGCATGCAAAGGTTTATTCACGAGTGGTATCATTTCCAAGTATTACCAAGTGATTTCTATTCCAAATAGATTTTCAAGTGGTATCTTTTACAAAGTTTTACAAGTGGTATTTAGCTATTTTTATTAAAGTATGTTTCCAAGTAGTATCGAGCTAATCATGGTGCTAAGGATGGTATAATGTTGCACTCCGATTGGTATCATGCTTCAAAGATCCATCTTTTATACCTTAGCATCATTTGGTAGACAGTGTCTCCTATATTTCCTATCTAATCATATGTGCAAGCTACAATCCAAACTCTTAGCACATATGTAGGGGGAGCAATTGCTACCATATGGAATTCATGAAACTTGTCCATATCTTTTTACACATGGTAAATATGCTTGGACAAGCAACATGGATTCAATTGAATTTTAATTCATATCTTTGTATAAGGGTTGTCATCAATTACTAAAAAGGGGGGAGATTGAAAGCTCTAGTTTGGTTTTGATAAATTGATGAAACCCTAAGTGCTAACCTAGTTTATCAAGTGATCATGAAATAGGTAGCACACTCCAAGTGGTGAAGTAAATGAAGATCATAGCATGATGATGATGATGGCATGGTAATGATCAAGTGCTTTGACTTAGAAAGAAGAAAGAGAAAAACAAAAATCTCAAGACAAAGGTATAATTTGTAGGAGCTATTTTATTTTGGTGATCAAGACACTTAGAGAGTGTGATCACATTTAGTTTTGATAGCCGTACTATTAATAGGGGTGAAACTCGTATCAGAATGCGGTAATCAAAGTGCCACTAGATGCTCTAACTCATTGCATATGCATTTAGGATCTAGTGGAGTGGTAACATTCTTGAAAATGTTTGTGAAAATATGCTAACACATGTGCACAAAGTGATACACTTGGTGGTTGGCACATTTGAGCAAGGGTGAAGAAGATAGAAGTGAAAAGGAGTAAGTATCGCTGGTTATACAGTGACCGGACGCTGGACCTCTAGGGGACCGGCGCGTCTGGCCATGTATAGCAGTGAAGACGCCAGCGTCGGTGAATGACCGGACGCTGGGTCACTCAGCGACCGACGCTGGAAGGCTATGTCCGGTCGTGTTGACCAACAGTGCAGTGTGAAGTCAACAAGTGATCGGACGCTGGTTGTGTCCGGTCAAGCATGACCGGACGCGTCCGGTCAAAGACCGGATGTCTGGAACCTTACTGGAAACGACCGGACGCTGGAGGCTGAGCGTCCGGTCAGTTTGTGCGCTGTGTTCGGTCAACAGACGACCGTTGAAATCTGACGAACTGTATTTGAAGCAGGGGACACGTGACGTGTATCATGTGACCGGACAATGAGGGCCAGCGTCCGGTCGATCGGACCGGTGCGTTCGGTCACCCCGCGCTGTACCCAGTGAAGGGCTTCTATTTAAGCCCCATGGCCGGCTCAAGCTCACTCTCTTGGCCATTTTCATTGACATAGCAACCTTGTGACTATAGCCAAAGTCCTCCTGCTCATGCCTCCTGGCTACGACGAGAAGAATGTGGGCGCGATGATGCTGTCCAAAGGCTGGCTTCAGATTACCATCCCCAAGCCCAAGCACGAGCCCAATAAGATACAAATCTCGTAGGCGCCCCCGACCCCGACGACCCAGACCTAGTAGTAGTCATCACTACTCTACTCGTCCTAATATATACTCCCTCTCTGTGACGTAGACAACTTTAAAAATCTATTTACAGAAGGATAGAGAGAGTATATATGTACGTCAGCGCCCCGGTCGTCGCCACGTCATCCCTCACGCCGCGCCACATTGCATGGCACGGCACAAACGTTTCGCCGCGCCAGGAAAATAGGCCCAGCCAAAAGTGTTAAATTTGTAAAATAAAATTAAACAGTGTTAGATTTAAAAATAGTTTAAAAAAGTGTTAATATTAAAAAAAAATCGCTCCAGGCACTCACATTCCAGAAAACAGTTCAGCTGACAGAAATGAATGGAGAATTCAGGCAAAATTCATGTGGTTTGTATTCTCAATTATACTGCTGTACGTGAACCAATAAACTCACATTACATAAAAACAAATGAAAAAATCGGAGCACCGCGCAGGATACTCAGCTACATCAAAGCAAAAATAAAGAACTTTTATTTAGATTACCAGGGATAATAAGCAAATAAAGATCCCTAGACTGGTTCATCCAACGGGCGAGAGAGGCGTCCGTTCTAGTATTGGATTGGCTTTCTTCTCAGAGCATGTCGAGTGTCTTTCTGTGATTGCCTGATTGGAGTACTTTACAATCTGTGGATTACTTTACAGAAGTTGGATCCGTTGTGTGATGCATCCCAAATCATACCAATGGCGTCTACGGAATGCCAAGCCAGATATGCGCTGCAGGACAGCAGGAGCGAGAAAGGGAAAATTAGGAAGAAGAAGGGGCTGGCTGGGCTAGTAGTCTAATACCTACCTGTACGTGCCTTCATTCTCCAATTGAGCTGCACTGCCGGGACGCTCACAACTGGAAGCGCGCTCTGACAACACACTGCAGGACGTCGGTGGCGCGCTTCGGCAGCACTCCAAGACGTTCCTGTCGTACACCCCGGGGGAGCCAGCCGCCCAGCACCATCTCCTGGAGCTTGAACACGATCTGCTGGTCCGGGATGATGGCGTGGTTCTCGGTGACGGGGATCTCGACGTCGGGGGACTTGCAGCCGTCGGCCGTGATGTAGAAGTACTTGAGGAACGTCTTGGACACGACATTGTAGCTGAGCGCGAAGAGCTCTCCGGTGGCCGGGTCCAGCTTGGGGTGCGCGATCATGGCGGTGTCGAGCTGCCCGCCGAAGTCGTAGCGCCCGACGGTCTCGAGGTCGCCGTGGGCGGTGACGCGCACGTGGTAGGGGAGGTCGTCCTCGGACATGGCGAGGAGGCGGTTGTTATGGTACACCAGCCCGGTGTTGGCGACCCCGATCCCCGGGCGCGCGTCGAGAGGAGGAGGCGCGCCACGCCCGAGTGGACGTGGAGCTCGCCGATGGCCTTGGGAAGACGGCCTTTCCGATGGCGCGCTCCTGTCTGGCGGCGCCGTCTCCGTGGAAGCGAATCGCGCCGACTTCTGGCGCGCCCCAGCGGGAGGCGCACGGCGTGCAACATGCCGTCGCCGCCGAAGAAGTGTGGTGCCCAGCGCGCGCGTGGAGCGGGTTAAGCGCCGTTGCGGGCGATGTACACGCCCGTCGAGGCACGACGGGACGCGCCGGAGACCGGAGCTCACCGAGGGCGGGCGCGTAGAAGTTGCCGGCGATCTGGACAGCCGGTGGCGGCGCTTTGCTGCGCCGACACGGTGTCCGAGCCGCCAAATGGAGCTGGAGCAGAGATGGAGGACGCCATTGCCGGAACTAATCAGTCGAGCTGAGAATTGTGGCCCGCCCGGTGACCGACGAGCCAGTGATCGAGCGGAGCGAGGCTTGTGGCGGCGGCGGCGTGGATGTGTATGCGCGCCCGGCCTATGCGCGTGCGGAGCTTGGATGGTGAGACTTCGGAGAGGAGCGAAGCGGGGTTGGGTTTCGGTGTGGTGGATTTACAAGGGATTTATAGGAGGCGCCGGGAGGGGAGGAGGTGTTGCAATCAAACGGGGAGGAGGTCGACGACACCTTGCTTATGGGCCCCACCGCCGGATTAGCTCGACTAGGCCAGGAAGCAAGCAGGACACGATTTTTTTTTTTTTGAGAGAGAGAGAGAAAGAGGAGGGAGGACACGGCTAGGCTATGCACGTTGGGTTTAGGATAGGATAGGATATTGGGCTGCTAATTTGGCCCACAATAGCTTACTGCCTTGCTCTTGGTCTGCGCCTCTGCCTCATGCTCTGCTTTTGCTTCTGCCTCATGCATGCTTGGCAGCTTGCTTTCTCTCACCCTGTTCCCTTGATCGTATCAGTCATACTTATCGGTCATGATACAGTATTTTTCTCCCACAACAAAACAGTATCAGCCGGCTTATAAGCCACAGAAACGAGGGTGTACCGTTGTGTTTTATTTTGTGTTTGAAACCTCATAAGTACAACCCTAAGTTTATTATTGGAGAAGGGCATAATAATGATACTGAAATCAATTACACTCGCCGTATGTAAATCAGGCCTAAAATTGTGCTCATCCGGGGTGCATGTTGCATATATAGTTTCATTGACCTCCTAGATTTGGTATTAATTAAATTATTAAAGTTTGGCAAAGTTCCGTTCTCAATAGGAGTAGAGCTTATCTGCTTATGCCTAAAATAAGGTCTGCAGCTCTGTCGTTAAAGTTTCATTTTCGCCTTCTTTTCCATAAGTGCATCTACTTTCTTTTGAAACATTTGCACGATACAGCATATAGCAATATATGACACGGGTACTTTCAATGTTAATATATAGTACGATTACAGCTGCATTCGTGATGTTCTGCTCCTTAAGTTTCCATCCCTGCCATTGATCTCTGATTGCCATGAGGTTTAACCATAGTATATCACGTCCAATAACTATTCAAGGTTAGGTTACAGCACTCACAGTTCGGCTGACAGAAATGAAAGGAGAATTCAGAAAAAATCGTATTCTCACGATACACCGCTGTGTTTATTTGAGCCAATAAATTAAAAGAAAAAAATTGCACAAACTTGAGCATGCATCGGACAGCATACTCAGATACATACAAGTACACTAAAAGAAAAACAGAATGCCAAGGATAATTAAGTAGGCAAAGATCCATGGATCTACTACGTGACAACCTGTGGCTTGCTTCCCGAGTGCCCAACAAGTGGGATGCAGGCGGCGATAAACGTGAGCACGACGAGGACCACGACGACAATGGCCAGACACTTGGCGTGGGGTCGAGTCACAGCTCCCACTGTCACCACCATGGACAGATAGAGCCCGAGAGCTATTGCACAGAAGAAGAAGAAACCAACCGCGTTGACAGGCCCTACCATGAAGCGTCCGGCGATCGCTGTGAAGAGGCCGCCAAAACTGGCGATGCCCTGCGACAGGTCCAGCAGATGGCCCAGGTGTGGACTCTCCTCATCGTCTCCGATCATGTCCTGTGTGAAGAATGGCAACACGTGCCTATCGGCCGCGTGCTGCAGCTTTGGCTGGAGGAGGGCGACGACGACGGCCAGGAGTAGCGTGGCGAGGATGGCGAAGGCGTAGTGTTTGTTGAACGAGAGAATCAGAAGGCAGGTCGCCAGCTCTAGGAGGAGCCATGAGATGCAGACCAAGGCGTTGCCCCATTTTGACAGATGCAGGATGAGCGCTGCATCCACGATGATAGCAACCAGGAACAGTGTGTCTTCGACGCTGAATGTTGTTGATGTAGAATAGTGATGGGTCAGAGACGCGTAGAACATGGTCATGGCGAACCAGAGCGCCTTCAGAGAATAACTGGACAACAATTTTATTTGCTGTTTGAGCTGGGCATCTGTGGTATCATCATTGCCATACACGACCTGCATTAAATTTAAAGATAATAAATTTTAGTTTTAGATATGCCGAAAGTAATAATAATGCAGTAATCTTAATAATGTAGTATGTTGTTTAAAAAATAATCATGTAATATGTGTGATTTGATATTACATGAAAATCAATATGCACCGCGTCAATGCTTTTAAATCCATAGTTTCAGTTTCAGCTTAGAAACATTAGTAGTCATTGCCATAGTTAGAGCAACTCCAAGAGACTCTCTATATCCTCACTAATGGTTAGGAATAGAATTTTTGATAGAAAAATACTCTCCAATAACATTTTTAATTGGTTATCTAAATATAGAGATTCTCTATTCTAAATTTCTCGCTAGCCATGTATGTCTCAAATCGAAACCATGATGCTCACAAGATATTTCTTACATGTGTTAGCTAAAAAATACATAGGATTGTAGGAAATACCTAGAATAGTGTGGATTTTGAAACCCGTAGCAACACACGGGCACGGACCTAGTAAATATACAAAATACATGACTGTTTCTTTTTTTTAAGGAGATTTTTTATCTGTTCCATGGGCCAGGGCTGGATCTCCAAGCCGTTTCGACAGAAGCCAGAGCCCAATGGACGTGGGTGTGCACATGCATAAGGGCCCAGTGGGCCAAAATGGATTTCCCTTCCCATCTTACCTGAAGGATTTGCGGCTTCAGCGATTGGCAGGCCCACCCCATGATTTGACCCATCTTGCTTGGTCGGTCCTCCTGATTGCTCCCGCCCTCAGCGCTGCTCTGCACCTCCTCTTCGACCTGAGCCCAAAAGAAAGAAAAAAAAAGCGACGACAAAAAACTTGAACCATGCATGTTGTCTGTCTGTCAGCTAAATGCTTATATAACACCTCTCAAAAAAAGAAAAAAATGCTCATATAACAGAACAACAGTCAACAGCACCTTCCCCGTGTGCCCTTCGCCGTCGTCCTCCGCCGCCACCACGTAGGACAAGTCCTCGTTCCCCGACACGTCCACGGACTGCGGCTTCACGTAGACGCAGGCGTCGTAGACGATGAGGCGGCGGTCGAAGTGCTTGAGCTCCAGCTGCACGCTCTCGAACTCGAAGACGGCCTGGTGGTTGATGGACGAGCTGGTGGTGGCCCGGAAGATCTCCTCCATGGTCATGGACGCCACCAGTGCGCGGTGGGTCTCGCGCTCGATGACGCCCCTGACGACGTCGTTGAAGTGCTGGGAGAGGTTGTCGTCAGGGGCGTCGATCCACGCGTCGCTCTCCTCCTCCTCGTCCTCAACCACAGCCGCCGCCGCTGCTGCCGTGGCGCGGCTGAACGCCAGAACGGTCGACGCCCCGAAGCCCGTCCAGGCGTCCCCGCCGTCCGACACATAAGCGGATGCCCCTTCCCCGAACAGCGCCGCCGACGCGTCAAAGCCCAGCAGCGCGCCGTGGCCGTAGCCGTAGCCGTAGCCGAGCGCGTCGAAGGCCGCCGCCTCGGCGCTGTCGAAGCCACCGTACCCACCGTGCTCCCTCACCAACGCCATGATCGATCGATCACGATCGATGACCTCTGCTAGCTAGTTACTTAGTTGGAGACGAAGAAAGTGGCTACTCTGCACTACGAGCTGTGTACTCCCCTGCGCGCCAACAGAGAACAGACGGCTCGTGCGTTCGTTCTGGAGGAGTGTGTGTTTGGTTGGCGCCATGGTGTGTGACTTATATACGCGAATGGTGACGCAGTGCACATGGGGCCAAGCTGCATTAAATGCGCGAGGTAGGTAGTTAAGCGGTCCAGGTTTCCGATCTAGGGACTAAGTTGTCGAGGTTAGTTTAAAAGTTGTCATCATAGTATATCACGTCTGATGAGCAACTCCTCCGTCAGATTATGCCACCATGGCGTGTTGTCACAATTTGGCAAACACAGAATACAAATCTCGATAATCACCACAAGGGCAACAATCAAATATTTTGCTCTTACTCCTCTGTCTCCTTGAAACTGAGTAAGTATTTTTTTTTATTTCTTCTTGAAATTGAGTAGGTAATTTTACTTCTGGCAGGTTGTGCCAATGAAAAAGCCATGCAAGATATGATGATTCAATTTAAGTTGTTATAATCAAGTCCAATGAGATTGGTAATCTTATAGGTTTGTTTGATTTGAGAAAAACATGCCATTTATTCAGCTTCATGACCTTATTCTGTATTTCTTTTTATTTTTGTTTGATACCATAGCTGGTTTGTAACCTTGTCAACATTCAAAACTAGAGTTCTGAATGTATTACCACACAGATTCACATTGGTTATCTTTACATTGCTTTGGAATTACTAAAACTATGGTCTCTGTGCGATGTGTTCAACAGTTTGATGCGAAACTAAATTTTTGGATAATGCGAGGAGGTATAAGAAAGGGTTGTGACAACAAGGATCAGGAACAGCACGGTGAGGATGCTGAAGGCATAGCATCCGTTGAACGGGAGAATGAGAAGG